GTGAAAAAAAGCGTGGGGGTTTTGCGCCATATTTTTCGTATATTGAGCGCCCGATGGTATTTTTACCAACTCCAAACGAAATGGTATAAAAAAAAACCACCGTCGTACCTTATGTAAGACGAAATCCGCGTGGAACATGACGGCCACGTTGAGGAAATACGCTCCTTGGTACTTGGTGATGTCCTGGTCGTCCAGCCGGCCCACGGTTTCGTTGACGGAGAATTCGAATTTGTCGAACCGCATCACGATCTTGGTACCCTTCGGCAACGCCAAACCGTCCTGGACCGGACAAAACAAATCGTGCTTGACTTTTAATCGTTTCGACCGACCATAATAATATATATATATATATATAAACATAATACATATATTATATATATACACATAATATTTTAGTTAGGTGTTGGGATTTTGTTACGAATATCAAAATATAGTACCGGAAATTCATGAGAAATAACATATGGCGGTTATACGTTATAACCGCATACGTTAGTCGATTCGTGTACAAAAGATTTGTACACGAATTTCAAATTGAATTGGATATATTATTAGTATGTATATATATATATATATGTATAAATATAATTAAACGTATGTGTATTAATATAACAATAATAGCATTAGTGTTCGATAAATTTTGTACGCTATTGAAATGAAAAAACTCACTTTGTTGCACAGGGCGAATTCATTGTTTGTGCAACAAACCAGCGTTTGTTGCTTGTTACGCCGGTACGGATGCAGTGGATTCCGTTTGAAAATCGAAAAAACCATCTCCCTATCGCCTTGTCCTCCACGCGCTCGGGCGATAACTGCTCAACGTCAATTATTATTTATTATTATTATTTTTTGTTTTTTCTGTTACAAAATCACCGGTTGTGTTATCTACGACGGTATTGCTGAACGTCAATTATTATTTATTATTATTATTTTTTGTTTTTTCTGTTACAAAATCACCGGTTGTGTTATCTACGACGGTAGCGGCGATGGCGAAAAGCGTTTTATTATCGCCAATCCGTACCGATCGGCAGAATAACGGTTGGTTTTTTTGTCTTTTTTTCGTTTTCATTTTTTTTCCCATTACCATCCGACCGGTCGCGTTTCCGGACTCGTCTCGTTTACGGGGTTTTTAACTCGACGGTTTTACCGAGAAAAAAATCCTGACGGCATTGAGATAATAGAAATGTTTATATATATAGAGAGACAGAGAGAGAGAGAGAGAGAGAGAGAGTGAGAGATATTTATAAATCTAATCTTTATATATTTATAATTTATAATATACTGCTTGTAATTTGTTTAATTCTGTATATGTACACAAATTGTTGTAAAATACGATGTAGTCTGAAACGACCGATAACCCTCCGGTCGGTTTGAATATTATTCATTCCCGCCGACCTACCAGCATAGCGATTGGTGGGGGGGTGTCGACCTCTTTCGTTTAAGCGGCCACCCACATTATCGTCGCCATCACCGTTGTCTTCGTTGCCATCGCGCTTTCGCTGGTATTAAACCGGCCGATGGTACGAGAAAAAAAATGCAACAAACGTCCGTCCGACCGCGTCACATGCCTACGCCCGAGGTGCCGTAGCCGTTTTTCAAAAATATAAAACAAGTCGACCGGTCGACGATTCTGACTCGCGCCCCACAGTGTTGAGGGGGGGAGACCCACAAGGACATATTAAACAGACGATTAATGTTATTAAACAAATAATTAATAATTTTATGCTGTTCGTTCGTCGTTATGTTTTAAGGTTATAAATAAAAAATTAATACTAGTTGTAATCGTTACAATATTTTTTCGTTTGGTCTAATTCTATTAGATCTATTGTATTGTATTATTAGTCGTATTCGGAATATCAATACAATTTACCTGTAACCTAACGCGGTAAGGCAACGACAATTACGATTGACGTTATAAATTGCGTAATGGATGAAAAATGTCGGACACGTTGTTTCGAGTATAACGAGACATTTGTTTTCGGTTTTTGTAAACGGAGCGCCCCCGATTTGAAAACACTATTTGCGCCCAATGTTATCCAACTAGCTAATATAAATATTTTAATTCGCTGCCCCATAAAGTCGACCCGAAGGCACCTCTAGCTTCTTTCGCGAGCGTATTAAATGTTAATTAGAAATTGTGTTTATTTCTTTTGGTTGCATATTATTTTCGATTTATCAGCTATGAAACACTTTTTACTATCATCCGTTATAACGTATCGGCTGAATAAATATGCGACTAAAAGAAATGGGATTTTTTTTTTTCTAATTTTGTATTTATTTTGCCAGTGTGGTTTATGACAAACCGATGTGTATGCTCAGGCGTTTTTGTGTT